TAGCGTTACATTATCCTTGCGTGACGTGATAACGGGTGACAAAGTTATTCTGGTTTTCTATCATTTCAGGTGGGACATGCAATTAACAACAGCGAATGCACAATACAGCGCCTCTAAAAACATGATAAGTATGTCGTACCGTAGATTGTAATTCGCTACTGAATGGAACTATCACTTTAGGGCCATCAGCAACCGGCATGCATTACGAGCTTTTATTATAAATTGAAAATGATGCTGGATCGCAATATACACGTTGTCATAAAAAGAAATAGAGTAATTAAAAATACAAAAACATGTTTTTCATTGCTTTTCGATCCACCTCAGAAGCAAGGCCCAAGGGCAGCCAACCTAAAATTCTCAGAATTTGCAATGGAAAGCTGGGCCACTTAGRTCATTTGGGATTAGATGTACTAATAAAAGTTTTATATTTCTCTTGGACAATATTTTTGAAATTAGCTGTAAACGAACTACCCTATGCTCTATATGAGTTAACATCTGCATCTAAGAATTCTAAAACACGGCATTAATCCATTGGATGTCGGTTGGTGATGGCACYGKTCATGCTTTAGKGTAACCATTGATACTGTTCTCTCACATTGCTATTATCTACAATCTTACTAAATTATCATTTCTTTACAGCTGTAGGAGCGGGACTCCTTCAACCCCCTTTGTTTCATCTCGACTATCCAAGGTATCAAAATCTACCCCCGGGAATCTACCATAACTACAACTGAAACTGAAATCAAACCGATATCGTCAGTTACGTTATTTATTCGCCACATGTAAGAGAATCCGAAATCCAGTCAAAAACAGCTTTGGAATCCGGAATCTCAAGGCTTGAATTCCGGAATCCAATGTTTCGGAATCCGGAATCCAGCGCTTGGAATCTGAAATCCTCTAGTTCTCTGGATTCTCTTACATGGGGCCACAGCTTAGTTTAAAGAACCCCTATTAATCCTAGCCAACCACAATACATCGCGCTCGTGTTACTGTTAAAATCCGTTTAAATGCGTCAAGCATACAATAGATTATAGATTGATAGTCCCTGTGAGGTACTTGGTTTATGGTATTTCTGTCCTAACTGAAAGGATGGAAGACGATTCGCGCTCACTTTAAGAAATCCTACGAATCCACCATTTTCGTGTCCACCTAAAATAGAGCGAGCTTCGGCTCGCAAGGTTGGTTGTGATTCTTTAATAGTGCGAGTATAACTGAACAGCCTTGTATTTTGATATTTCAGAGCACGTACATTTGGTAGCATTGGGATGGCCATTGGTCACGAAATGACACATGGTTTTGACGCTTATGGTGGGTTGTACCACGATCCC